CAGATTTACTTGCATTTAAAAAAATAATACAGCAGCATGAAGGGTGAACTGAGGGCAGGAAGGGAGATGGGAAAGGGAGACCTCAAGAGATCACTGCAATAGTCCAGGTAATTGACACCTAGAGAGAAGGCCAAAACATTACAGTAAAAAACAAAGAATATCAACATAAGTTGGATGTGGGAAATACGGGAGAAGAAGAGGAAAGAATTAAAGTTGTTTACTAAAAGCATGCGTAACTGCCTAATATACTTTAACAACACCCCCTTCCCCGTTTCAAGCTATATTGTGGATTTCATAGAGAAATGAGATTTTGGAGATTTACAGGGGAATCTTCTTTCAATATTTAATAGACTGAGTATTAAAGTACCTGTGGTACAATGAAACAAGGATGTCCAGTAGACCCCAGGACATATGGACCTGGATTTAAGAAGAAAGGTCAGAGCAATGAAGACTTGGGAATCACCAAGATCACAGCTGGTAAGTGAAACTGTGAGCATAAACAAGATTGCCCAGAAAGTCCCTGCAAAGTAAACAGAGCAGGAACCAGGGAATAAAATGTTGGGGAACACCAATATTTATGGAAAAATCGTTAAAGAGGAATAAACTAATGAAGTGAGAAAAAGAAGTGAGAGCAGCAAAAAAGACCATGGAGGACATTAAAGAAGGGTCTTCATGTGGACAAAATTGACGTTAAATAGTATGAGTAAAATCAGCCTCTAGATTGAAAACTACATCATTAGCTTTTTTATCTACAGCAATGTCAATAGACTAGTGGGATCAAAAGTCAGACTGCATTTGGGAAGGGAATGGGAGGGAAGAATGAAGAGGCATTCTCTTTCAATAAATTTTGTAGTCTAAGAAAGCAGAGAGAGAAGGCAACAGGAAAAGTGTGAAGACAGGGGCCAGGGCAAGGTTTTTTGGTTCTTCTTGTTTGTTTGTAATATGGGATAAAACTTGAGCATGTGTGCAAGCTAAAGTGAAGGAGCCAATGGAGAGGGAAAGATCTAAGATGAAAGACTGAAGAATTAAGCTGTTGAGCCCGTCTCCAAAATGGTGAAAGTGAAAGCTGTAGAAAGGTGAACCTTTCCTTGGAAAGGTGAATAGGTATACTTCTGAAACTGGGGGAGGGAAGAGAATGAGATGGTTGCTTAAGATCTTGTAGATAAGTTTAGTAATGGTGGGAGGGAAGCTTGGAGAGTCCACACCACACATCACTATTTTTTGCAGTAGAGTAGGAAGTCAATTATCTGCTTGAAATGGATGTTCAGGAATGGGGAAGAAGCCCAACAGTCACTAAGGTAAAAGAAGCAAAGCTCATGAACAAAGATACCTGCTGAAAATGAATCCTACCAGTTTCTGCAATCAGATTAAGCCTCTGTTATGAAGAACGAAGGTCTCAAACTGAATTGGGCGAGAATTAGGGTCAAAAAGGGGGATTCAGACAGATCTCTCCTCAATAGAGACCAAATAAGGTCTAGGGTAAAGTAGGCATGTCCACAGAGTGTTTAGTTCTGACTCAAAGTAATTCCCTACTAGATTTAAAGTGGCCTTATAAGAACAGAAGTGATAAAGCTAGAATTACAGGAGAGAGCAGTTTCAAGTCAGTAACATCCAGAATTATGGGCTTATCTAGCATTTAAAATATATTAGGTGTCACCAAGAGATAAAAACAAACAAAAATCCCTACTCTTTATAAACTACATTTTAAGTTACTGAGAGGCATACAGTCTGAAATTTATGTTATAACCAAGAGGGCCTTGCAAAATGCTTAGAACACAGCATGGGTTCATACTTGCTTGCAACGGAAAAAGCAGTTTTGACAGACCCTGCACTTGCCAAATGCCTTGCCTTGCCTTTAATCCATAAGTGTGACACGTATTCAAATATGCACATTTATTCTCTTAATTTGAATCTCAAACCCTGGGGTTGATCAGATTCTGAGTCTTACCTAACTGTCCCATAGATAAGGAATGCAATATTCAGAGGAGGGTAGAACTATAATTTCTGTTTCAACTCTATGCAACTACGAAGGAGAAAAATCCAGGTTCTATTGCCTCAGTCTAGGTATATCAGGATCAAATTTCTTGGGTGCTCTCTATTTTTTACTTTAATACTACAATGAGTTTAACAAAATCAACCCTACACTATTGTTCTTGTTCTTTTATCATGGAAGAACTATCTGCACTAAGACACAACGTAAAATTTGCTTTATGACAACCCAAGAGTGCACTGTATTAAGCTGAGATACAAGATATCAAAATATAGAGATTTTTATCTTGTATAAAAAGCTAACAGCAAAAACCTAAAAGATGGCTAAAATGCTTATATGAAAAGTGTATCACAAAAACAACATTAAAGTATTAAAAACTGCTTATTTGGCTATAGATGAATGAACATTAAGAAATGCAAACTTGGTTTTAATAATATGAGTGATTACTGTGGACTTAGAATATTTATCAAACTTAGGAAAAACACCTACTTTTCTTCTTTAGAACCTGGCCTTTCAAATCTCCATTAACAACTCAGTGGCAAAGATAAAACATCTGCCAAAATACAGATGACAGCATGAGCAAGCGTCCTAACAGTAGGCATTTAGTGTAATGCTTTAACACATTGCCTCTAGACTGCTGGGGTGGCCCCATAAATAAATACTTTTAATAGGCGTTTACTTCCTTAAAGTAACAACTTGTGTTTAAAAATAATATATTCTTTAAGAGAAAACATTTTCATTTAAGCAAGACAAATTACTACCAGGGTTAGACAATAAAACTGTTTTCTAATCATGTGCACCTTTGATTTTGAAAACTCACTTCGAACAAAGAAAAATTATTCAACCACTGAAAAGACAGTCCATGTCACTGTCATTATCTAAGTCAAATTTTATTTGCCAATTACTAAAAACTACTGAAACTACTGATGTGCTTTTAAACAAAGTATAATTGGACTTATAGGGGGGTGGGGGAGGAAAGGAGTGTAGTAATTCATTCTGCATCTTATAAACCAATAGGGTTTTATAGGGTTGCAGTTTGCCTGTAAGTAGACAGAAGGAGCATTTCAGGTTACTTCTTTTACCACAAAGGTCAACTGAAACTAAGTGGCTTCCAAAAAATGCCTTTGATTACCAGTCATTTATAAATGAAACTGAAAGCAAAATGAAACTTCAGTACAAAACGTACACATCTGTGACTGTTTTACTCATTTTGAATTCTAAATTCAGTCTCTTAAATACCCTGGTTGATAATGACTTGTGTTCTATCTTCACGTCTTTTTTAAAACTACATATTAAACACACACAAAATCCATTATATCTTATGACAAACACTATCACTTTCTGTTTTATGATCAAAACTTCCTGAACTCAAATGTACAATGCCTCTATTTTGCTTTTTTTCAGGTTATTATTAAGTACAATAAAATACTATAAATTGTGAATTCTGTGAATCTGTAGGGAATTGAGCACATTAATATTGCATGTAAATGAGTGTTAATTATATGTGACTTAACTATTATTAAATAAGGCCTAGCAGAAATCTTATCCCCAAAAGTACCATTATAGCAGTTCTTTCCCATCTGCTTGGAAACAGGACCACTGCTTTTAATATAGTATATGATTTACATTTTTTATTCTTCAGACTAGCTTTGATGCCAACAGTCTGAATTAGTGATATTTTATTACATATTTGTAATTTGGTTCAATATGAAGGCTTTCTGATCACACAACAGGTTTTTGAAAGCAGTATTATTTTTGCTACAGTAATGGTAAGAAGCCATTAATGATGATGACAAGAAATACTACCTTATCTAATTATTAACTCTTTAGATAATAAAGATCGTCAACAACTCCAACAACCCAGGATGTTTCAGAGATTGGAGAAAGTGCTAAGCAAGCATTTAAAGGCGTAATGGAAATGGCTTGAAATCACAAGCGTTTATAAATGGCACACTTAGGCTAATAATCAGTTTAAAATCTAATTAATTTAGCATTCTAGAATTAAATATAACAATTGCACTACTCAAATTCAATACTGAATCTTACAAAAAGTTAACAGAACACTGTACAGATGTAAAGTATGACAGGCACTGTAGAACCACGAAAATTCCCATTCCTCACTTTTTACAGACGAAGCACACGCAAAAAAAAAAAAAAAAAAAAGAGCATAATGGATTCCAAAAGCCTAGGGGGGCCAACCGCCTTTGGCGTTGAAAGACACCAAATCCCACTCTGCAGCAAATACCTTTTGACGTCTTCATATTTCAAGCGAAATCTGGATTACTATTAAAACGGTTCGCCCAAATAAAGTGGAAAAAACTTGAACGTACAATTTGGACTATATTAAAGTGGTTGATACGGCGTGGGGGTAGGAGAGTTTCCAGGTAGCTTATTTCTAGGGTTAAAAAAAAAAAAAAAGCGGCCAGAACATTCTAAATACTGTGTTGGAAATGCAACTTAATTGTTCCTTTATGTTTCTTTAACTCTATGTTCTTGTGGGAAGGCAAACAGGAGAAATCCCGTCTTGCAGACTTCTCCAAAATGCGCACTTCTATTGCAAGAGGCCCGGGCCCTCCCACTCTCCCTCTTCATCCCCAAATGCGTTTGAGCAGCGAGGAGGAAGAGGGGTGCAAAAGAGGGGGGGCCCTAACAGTTGCCACTCCTCGCCTCTGATCGCGCCCTTTCTCTCTACAGTTAATTTTTGCGTGAGATGCACGGCTCAGAATCTTCCTCGGTGTGCATCTGGAGGTGGAGTACGGGGGAAGGAGATAAACCCCGCTCTCACCCTGGGGGAAGAGGAAGAGGAGGGAAAGGAAGGAAGGGGGCGCAGGATTACCCTCGGGCCCTCCTACGTCCGCACCCGGGGCGAGCAGGGCCCGCGCGTCCCGCGCTCTGACCACCGTCTCCAAAGCGCCGCCGGGCCAGCCCGGACGCAGCCCACACACCCGCGGGGGGCGCCTCGGGGGCGGCGAAACACGAGTCTCCGAGCCAGGGGAGAGGGGCCACTCACCGCAGCACGCTGAGCCCAGCAGCAGCACCACCAGGGGCAACATCTCCGCGGCCGCCGGGCGGTTACCGCCGGCGCCGCCGCAGGTGTCTGGAGCAGCAGCCGCAGCTGTTATAGGCAGTATCGGCCGCCGTCACGGGCAGGACCGGACGCCGCCGTCCGTCACAAGCAGGACCCGCCGCCCAGGCTGCCTGGCCGCGCGCACGCGCGCTCCTGCCACCCCACGCCCGCTCCCCCCCTTTCTCCCGCCGCGCGAACCGCGCACGCGCACTCGCCCCCGCCCCGCCGCCGGGACTGTTGACGCGACGCCCTCCTGCCTTGCGGGCTTGAGTCCCCACTCCAGTCCGCTCCGACGAGGCCTGGATCCCGCTCCCACGCAGCGGCACGCGCCGGACTTTCCGGTCACGTCCCGTCATCCCCCACTCCCCACCCCCGCCGTCTGTTTGTCAGCCCGTCACAGGAGGCTGAGGGCTGAGCGTGTATTCCTACGCTCACCGGGGACCTCCTTGCGCCCGCCCTCTCCTCGGTTCTCTCCCGCCTCTCACACCGTCCTGGGTCCGGTGTCCTCCCTGCGCCGGTCCTCTCTCGCTTTCACTCCCACCCTCACGCTTCAGGAGCGCCACCCTCCGACCTGGGCTCCCCGGCCCGCACGAGCCCCTGATCTCTCCCCGCTCCCGAGTCCGACGTCCGCTCGCGCGTCCACCCTGCCGCGCCCTAGCCCCTACCTCTGGCGGCGCCCCCTAAACACCACCCCCCCGCAAGCGCGCGCGTCGGGTCGGGGCGTCGCTACGCTTCCCCGCGTTCGGGGAGCCCGGGGCTCTTCGCTGAGGGCGGGGCGGCGGCCGGGCCTGTCCGCAGCGAGCTCCCACTCGGCCTCGGGGGCTCCCGAGCGGCGCGCAGTTCAGCGAGCCTCCGCTGCCCCATGGGCTATTGTTTCTGCTGCGGTTGTGAGCTCTCGGCGCGCTTTCTCGCCTTGTTCGTTAGTATTTTCCTCCTTTGAACAGGGTTCCTCAAACAGGTCGGTCGTGGAGGTAAACATTTTTAGGTGTGGTTGACGCCGCAGCCCCCGGGGGCAATCAGGCATGGTTGTACACGTTCGCCGACACACGACACACTCAACACATCCCGTCCGGGATCCTCATTGAGCCTGGTGAGTGACAGCAACTCGCGCCGCCCTCTACAATTTGGGGTTAGCATGCTTGAAAAATGGGTTCAAAATGTGGACAGGGACTTTGACGACTTCACTGAATCACACAGGACACATCATTCATCCTGAAACAAAAGCTCTACCTTTAACACTTACCCTAAATAATGAACTGTCTTGTCGAAAAGTCAGACTCTGGTGGCTACTCTAACGGAGTGCCTATCTGTCTGCTCCCTTGGTTGTTTTTCTCTTACCTGATGGCAAAGAAAGCAGTTTCCCACCACAATATCCCACTTCTCTGAATCCTTTACCCGTGGTGACTCCTCCATTGCACCCCATCCCCGTTGTAATAAAATCCAGGAAATAAAATTGCCCCTCTCTGACACTGTAGCAGTATATTGTATACTTGTGTGACTTTTTCCTATAGTTACTTTGTTGTCTAACCTCTTCCTCACAGCATTATCAATTCTTTCAAATCAGAGAATATTTTAAGTATTTCCTCCTCTAAGACTTCCTGTTGAACTGTGAAAACAGAAGGGGTTTAATAAATGTGTTGATGTGACTTGAGGCAAGCGTTGTTCCAGTGAAATTTTATTGTTTTTTAACGATTAGAAAAAGAAAGAAAAACAATCGCCTAGCAGATATCTCACTAAAACAATGGTTAATAATTATGGTGGTAATGATTTGAATGGCAGCCTTGACACCCTGAGGCTACCAAAGGGACTGATGGATTCTCCTCCAACTGCTGCTTATATGGATACAAAAGAATCATCCACCAGACTTTGAGCATTCAGGACATTGTGTATCACAGAGCAGCTGGTTGCCTAAATAAGGCTGTCAGCTGTCCCTGAGACCAACCGACCCCCCCTAAAGCTGAAGAGTGACTGGGAAGGACTGTCCCCAATCTTCAGAGGTAGAGACTGAGGGATGCTCTATTTCATACTGGGAGCCGCTGAGGCTGTGTGCTTAATGTAGCTCTGTGCAGAAAATGCAGTAGGCTTAAGTCAGGTTAATGAGAAGCCCCCTGGGTGAATATCTCTACTCTTGGGAATGTGTTTTGATGGTGGAGCAAGAGGAGGCCTATTCCAGGAGAGAGAATCCAAATCTCTCTTAGACAACCTTGGGCTCCTTTCTCCAGTATCTAACCACTTTACATTTATGTTTCCCTTTTAATGCTCCCAAGGCTTTTAATTTGGATTTTGAGTTCATCTGATCTTTACATAAGGGTTTTTTGTTTTTTATTTTTTGGTGGAGTGGGGGAGGGTGGAAGGCAAGGGAGTAATATATATTAGAATGTTTTGAACAGAGGTAATGCACATTCAATTTATCACCTAAATGAATCTTCACAACAGCCATAGAATGGGTATTATGATCTCCATTTTAGCAATGAGGAAACAAAGGGAAAGAGGGATAATGAGCTTTTTGCCCACACTTATATGTGATACTTCTCTGACTTTCATTTATGTCTGTCTCCCTTGTCCTCCTTTGACCTCCTCCAAGAAGACTTTCTCAGTCCTTTCTCTTTCCTATAATTCTCCAGCACTTAGAGGGTCCGATAACTTCTTCCATTACACTTTGTTCATGCCGCTAATAAAATGTGTCAGTAGATATTTCTTTCTACAGAACGGTCTCCTCTTCTATCATGTCAGCTCGGAGAAAATGAATTTTTTCCTGGGTATATTTGCATCTCCAGGGTCTGGCACAGTGCCTGGTCGAGACCTAAATGCTGTGTCTACGTTGACTCAATCAAGAGAAATCAGTGTGATATACAGTATGCAAAAAAATTTTAGCCTAGGTTTGAGTCTCAGCTCTAGCCATGTACTACCAGGTGACCTCGGACAAGTTACTTAACCTTTCTGAGCCCTAGTTTCCTTCTTTGTAAAGCTAGATGATAAAAATAATAGAAATTAACTCTTCGATTGCCTTGAGAGTATCTAAGTTAACACTTTCACAGTTACATGGAGCAGTGCCTGCTGTACAGTAAGCACACAGTATTTAGCTCTTACTATTACAATCTCCTTATAGTGAGGTTGTTCTCCTGGAAGGGTAGTGAAAATTATTGTCAAAAGGATCACCAGTTCCTGGTCTGGAGCCTTAAAGAAGTGCTGGGACTTGGCAAAATGTCTACAGTTTGATTCAAGCTAGAGGCACATGTCTGTGCCCAGTGGGTAGCCCTTAATCCTCTTGCTTTTCTGCACACTTGGTTAGTGACTGAATGCTGAGTGGCCCACATCTCTGACGCCTGGCTCAGGGCTCAGTGTCCTAGGGTGTTATTTCAACTTGACCTAGATATTAAAGCATAGGAGCTCCAGTCATCAAATAAAGTAGTGTAGCAAGGAGGGTCTGTGCTCTCTGATTAAGGACTAGGTTTGGATGGTTAGGCAGCTGGAAGATACTGACATGTGTTTGGAGAGATGGATTTGGCTTAGGGAAACAGAAGGAAGGCTTTAGCAGCGGGAAATGATCTTCCTAGTCCGTGCTTCAGTTAGAAGCAAATATTAGAAACAGAAACTGCCTCCAGGTAGGAGTATGGCAGGACTGAGGGTTCCAGGTAAGAAATATCCTACCAGAGAGATAACAGTCGGCTCTAGTGTAAATTTCCTTCTGGATGTCAGGTGTGCACAGGCTTGTTTTGCCTAAGTCAGGGGAAACACAGCATTTCCTGCTCCCCCTCCTGCTGCTGCTGGAGGCTACTCATGTAGGCGGCCCACGCTCATGACACCTGGAAAGCACTAGAGAAAGCCAGCTTCTAGGTTAGGTTGTAAAATCACAGCAGACTTATTTCTTTGACAGCACATAATGTTTAGGGTCCTGGGAAGGCCCTTCCGTATCTTGCCTAACTCTCCTTTTTGAGGGCAGGTAACATACATGCAGTGGGTACATACTATGCACCAAGGCCTCACTGTACTAGTGTATTTATTTTCTATTGCTGCCAGAACAAATTTAGGGGCTTAAAACAACACCCATTTATTATCTTACAGTTCCGTAGGTCAGAAGTCCACTGGACTCAGCTGGTTTCTTTGCTTCTGGCCCCACCAGGCTAAAATCAAGGCATTGCCTGGGCTGCTTTCCCTTCTGGAGGCTCTAGGGGAGAATCCATTTCCAGGTTTATTCAGGTGGTTGGCAGAATTCAGTGTCTGAGGTCCCCATTTTCTTGCCGGCTGCTGTCTGGGGACTGGGAGGTGCTGCTTAGCATCTAGAGGCCTCTTTTGGGCCATTGTGTGTAGTTGCATGTGGTCTCTGAATTTGTCAGAGCTAGCAGTGGTACATTAAATCCTTATGTTGGCATGTCTCTTCTGCCTCCCCTTCTTCTGCCACATTTCTATGACTGACTCTTCTGCCTTCCTCTTCTACTTTTAAGTGCTCAAGTGATTAGATTGGGCCCCTCCCTCCGGCAATCCAGGATAATCTTACTATTTTAAGGCCTGTAACCTTAATCACATCCACAAACGCTCTTTTGCCATGTAAAGCAACATACTCACAGATTCGCAGGAATTAGGGCTTGGCAATCTTTGGGAGGCATACTCTGTAGTGCAGTTAGGTTCTTTTTCCTATTTATTCCTTTAATCTTCGTAACAGCCCAGTAAGAGAAGCATTGTTCATACCCACTGTGTACATGAAGAAACTGAAGTTGGGAGAGGTTGATACCACAGGCAAAAATGGTGGACTGAGGTTTGAATCTTGCTTGAGAGCTCACGCTCCTTCCTCTGCAGAGGAGTATAGGAAGAAAAGCAGGTGTGTGATCTGTCGCTGTCCCCGCACTTCCCACTATTGCTGCTTCTCAACTTAGTGAGGATGTCACCAAGGTGTCCCCCAGATTTCCAGCTCTCCTCCCAGGTACGGGAGACGATGAGCCACTGGATCCCTGATAAAACCAATGGCATGCTCAAATAGAGTGATTTAGAGGAGATTAATATACGAGGGTGTGGGCAGGGTGAAAAGAAAACCAACAAGGAATGGCCAA